GTGTTGAGAGCGACGGGTGAGGCGGCCAATCGCAAGGCGCGGAGGTAGGCGCCGCCGGCCACTCAGGTGGCGCTCCCGCCCCCCGCCGCCGGCTGAGAAACTTGTGATTGGACAGTTCGAACGGTCAGGTGGTCGGGGAAAGTAATGGAGGGAGGGGGTGGGTGTTACGGCGCTCCGCCCCTCCCACCTCGTTGCTATGGTAACGCACAGCGGGGTTGAGGCCTGGTGGTTTTTCTCAGCGAGGCCGGGCCTGACTGGGAGTATCGGCCCCCGGGCCGGGAGTATCAGGTCCCGCCCCCCCCCGCCGTGTGGTGGAAAGGCCCCGGGCCCGGTCAAAGGCGGTTTGTTCCTCGTCGTGCATCTGGCCGTGCCCCGAGCGGATAAGCCCTGTGAGGAGGAGAGAGGCTGCAGAGAGGACCTGCCAGCTCAGCAAGGTGCTGCTTGGGAAGCCAGAGTTGTATTTCAAATCTATCTTTTTTTTTGCTTATATTCACAGACTGCTGAAAATGCAAAGTGAACAGAAAGATAAATATCAAGAATAATTAAGACTTCATTCTATAACGAGGTTATCTTTAGATCATTGCCCTCCCCCTCGACTGTTCTCATGTAGAACACCTGCCTCACATAAATGTATGCAAGTTTACTTTTATGCTTTAATTCTGATCTATTTTCTTAAGGTTTTGAGTAGCGTGTAACAAAAGTATTGCTACAGAGACCTCTCAAGGAAGGGCTAATCACCTGTAGCACGGTGATAAAGAGCCATGGTAGCAATTAAAATGATATTTAATTTGTTGTGTGTGCTTTATCTGTGATGGACAGTTTGAGTTGGAAGAAGTCATGTCAAAAACTAAAATCTCATCCTCATCTCTGACATTTCCTGGATGTATGGCTGACAACTCCGACTCAGCGTGGCTAAAACAGAGCTCTTAATCTTCCTCCGTGGCTTCCACTTGCCTCTTCTCTCAATCACCGTTGACATCACCATCATCGTGCCTTCGCTCAGGGCCGTAACTTGGGTGTCATCTGTTTGGTTTGGAACCCGTAACCATGTCTCTCAGGGGTTACGTTTAACTGCTGTGGATTACTTCTGGATAACACAACTATGCTTTTACTGCCCCTCCAAGCAATTAGCATGTTCATTCAAATTCTAATTATCTTTCATCTTGATTACTGTACCATTTTCTGGTCTGAGCAAATGTGTTCTTAGTGTCATCCAGCTTTATTAAGAATGCTACTCCAATGATGGTTTTTATTGCTATTATTTTGACTATTTCACAGATCAGTTTGTGTTTGTGCACAGAGGGCAAGGTTTCTCCAGAGAGGTGTCACAGTTCCGATGGCTGCCTGGCACTGAAACAAAGGGAACGGTGCATCCCTGTGCCAGCTCCAGTGCTCACCTGGCCCCATGGGAATCTGGTCCATCTCACCGCATCAGAAACTGGCTCTTCTGGGTTATTTTTTCTACTGGTTTATCAAGCTGAGTCAAGTAATTGCAGGAGATGGCTGCTGGAGAAAGGCTCTGTGCTCAGCCCCTGGTGCTGGCCGTGACCTGCTCTCCACAGCAGCCAAGGCCCATCCCCACTGTGGAGCGCTCCAGGGGATGCTCCTTCCTGTCCTCCCGCACCGTCCTCTTCACAGGCTGCAGCCGGCGGCTGTGTGCAGCTGTGCAGGCTGCCAGATCCTGCCTTTCCCGGGGAATGAACCAGTATCGTCTATTTCCACAGGAGATTGGGGAGGCGGCTGCACCGGTAGCTCTGAAGAGGGGTGACACAGCCCCACGGCTACGAGCAGACCCCCGAAGGAGAAGGAGCCCTGGGCACCGGGCACCCAACGGGGCGCTCCCGGGGCTTCAGGCGCTGCCGGTACCGTTAACTGCTTTCTTTTGCAATTGTTACCTTCATTTAAATGTGTCCTGTTTATGCTCCCATACCGAGCGCTATCTGGAAGGTTTGGTTTAAAACCACAAAATAAATACAGATCCCACGGCGTTTGTAACAAAAAACCGTAGTGAGTTTGAAAATAAAAGCGGCATACAGCCTCAGGCAGAAAAACAACCCTTTTCTGTATTTGTAACAAGCAGCACAGCCGAAAGCTGTTACTACTACAGTTTTCTTCGTCAGAAACTCGGATGTTTTTAGAGATCTTACGGCTGTTTCTATTAAAGTTCGTTACTAACTGCAGGCCGTTAGCAGTTCAAGCCGGTGGCGCAGTCCAACACTGCGGGCCGCGCTGGCTGCGGCGGCTCCGCTCCCAGGTCTCCCCGTGCGCCCCCGGTGCAGGCCTGGCCCGGCGGCACCACCGGCTCCTGCGCCCGGAGCGGCTCTGAGCGCGCTCGGCCCCGCCCCCCGCCGC